GTGCGGTATCCTTTCAGTTCCCGTTTAGTTTGCGATGCCATGATGTCAAGCTTGGCTTGGAGTGTTTTCAAAAATACGTTCAATTTCCGAGGTGCACAATTCGATAATTGTACAACAAGTTTCCTGATAAAAATCAGGGTTTCATAGACCAAAGATATAAAGTTTTTACTCGCGAACTACCTTTCTGGAACTTCAATGGATGCTCTTCCTTGCGCAGCATTCTTCTGATGTATAACGCATTCTAGGAGGTTATAGGAGGCAACTGCAGGGCGGCCACCGGAAGTTGAACCCAATTCCACTTGTAGCACAATCTGACTGAAAACTAAGTAAATGCATTTTGTTTAGCCTGAAATTTTTAAATTAGCTACAGACCAAAACCAATAGCTACAGACCAAAACCAAACCGTGTTAAATTCCTCCCAATTGTAAGAACGGCTGTTTTCGATGCTATAGCACTTTGCTTGTGCACATTTGATATCGATTCGATTCGAACGTTGCAGTTTAAAGAATAACAATACGTACAATTTGACGGACTCTCTTGAGATAATTTGTTAGGAACCATTTGAAAGTTGTACTCTGACTGCAAGCGCTGTATGAGAAAATAACAAGGATCATCCAAAACACATTCATATGAAAAACATTCATCTGGGGCAGAGAGACAATACAAACATATACTATTCACCTGCTAATTTCCTTTCAAAGTAAAAAAAAATAAATTATTTTAGCGAGATGAGAACTAGGAACTTTTCAGAAGTAACAAATCGTCATGACTTACTACTTCAGCAAATCGGGAAAAAAGGAATACAATGTAAAGACGGTGGGATGGCTGACCGTTTCCATTTTAAATATTGCACTTTACCGCGTTATAACGACGTAGCAATGATTAGAGCAGTTATTCGTATTCAGTCAACCTTAATGCGCAGCAATAATGGTGAGTGGAAGTTAATAATCACAGCCGACTGTCATTGTGCTACTCATGGCTATAAGCAGAACATTTCTAACATAGTGCTTCAGTTTGAAAAGCTATCGATAAATTTTTAAAACAGTAAAGAAGTTTCTGGCACTCTGGCAAAGTTAACCCGAGAACTTTTTCGTGTGAGTTAACCAAATCAAGATAATCTTAGTGCTTTGAAACTACTCATGAAGAATATTTGATCGTTGTCGATGACATCTTAAATCGATTGACCACTGTGAATGACCAAAATGAATAATAGAGAGAAACCACCAAGTTTACGTGGACAGTTTATAACGCATCTTTTATCAGAAAAAGTCTGCCAGCCCTTACGTTGCAGGAATTGAACATTTTAAGAACGTAGTTACATGCAGCAAATCTCTCAAATTCCCTTAACTAACGCAACACGCTGCAAGATTAATGCTCAAAAAAATCTCTAGCCGAGCAAAGCCGCTCGCAGAACTGAAAAGCATGCTGTCTTACTTAGTATAATGTAGCCGATACAGTCCAAAAAGTAAAGTCCACATGAGGCTGCAACTGCTTACCAGTAACCGATTTCCAAATAAAGCGACTCATTCTAACGCCATTACGCAAACGTCCTTCACTAACTTTGTCAGTGTTTTTGTCCTGTCCTTAGAAAACATAATCACATTTACTCCTTACTTTAAGTTGAATGCTTCACCGCAGTCTCTGTAGTGTTTTCAGTACTAGCAATACATGAATTTTCTAATCAAAACAAATTTAACAAAGATCTGCGTCCCAATAGGGGAAAGATGCCTATAGTTGAACCTGCTCAAACAAGATAGTTAAAGGCACATTCTAAACACTCATCAAATCAGTGATTTCATCCTGTTTTTATAAAACAAAAATAGTTAAGATATATTGGAAATAAGAGCCTGTATAACCTAAAGGTTGTGTTTCAACTGCAAAACGTGGTCTGAATCACAATCTGCGTTCTAACATGATATAGCACATAGACATACTGCCAATACAACAAGATGTCAAGTGCAAATAAAAAAAGGTTGACAACTTTGGAACAGTGAGGTAATCACTTGATAAACAACTAAACAGACGAAGTTGCAAGATGATCAAGACGTAGAACTGCGGCGATACCTCGGCGATATAAAGAAGGCCATTCAAAAAGCTCCTTTAGCGCAACGAGCTACAGAAAGTTAAATATACATTCTCATTTGGTCAAAGTACAACAATTAAAGAGACGGACGAACTTACCAAATGAACCTGTTCCTCAAAAAAAAGTTGTTGGCATAGTCTTCCTTCATCACTGATATGAGAATCAGAATCAAGATTAGGTTCATAGTAACACATATGCTCTCCTTTGACTATTCGCCAGATACCATCTTCTTTCGTGTGAAAACCAAATGACATTGCCTAAGAAATCATCGCTAGAATTCTTGATAGTCTTGGGAAAAAAAA